TTCCACGCTATCATAAAATTACATTCCTTTTTTAAAAAAAAATGTTGACCATATGTTCAGGAAAGTCACCTGGGTTCTATATTTTTGTTTTGTGAAAACAGATGTGTTCCGAATCATTTTGTTACCTTTCCCGTCAGGCTGAGGACATCCTATCGCAGGTTACCTGCGTCTTGTGCCTGTGATACTGCTGTTTAGTTTGAGATTAGTACATTGATTTTTGTCACAGGTCATGTTTTTTAATAGATCAGAATTGCCTGCAGAAAACTCTCTGTGAACAAGCAGCAGTGGAATAATCTCAGAGTTAACAGTATTTGCAGATGATACCAAAGATGTTGTAGCAGCAAAGTCAAATCTGGTTGGAAGTGAAAAATTCTTTAGAAACATCGTGCCTATGAATGGGTGTGAGGTCCCTTCGATATAGATACACCCAAGTTATGTAAGCTGGCTGTTAATTGATTCGAAGAGGGAATACTTCAACAAACATCTAAACTCAAAAACAGCATCTGGATATCATGATAACTGTTGGCCAGGAAAAAAACCAACAACAAAAAAATGCAAAGATCAACGAAACAATAAAACAGCCCAGCTTCCTAAGCGATCTCACACTATTTAGCACATCATAGTATAACCTTTTACTGTTACGCCTTTCAGAAACCGATCCAAAGTATTGTGTACTTTAGCAAAGTAGTAGTTTAGATGGGGCATGTCAAGCAGGATTCTGGCAGTAAGTTTAAAAGCAAGGCCAAAATGTGCTTTCATTTTTCTTGCAAAATGCCAGCCTGGATCTGGATCTTATTAAATGCCTTTCAGAGTTCATTAATTGCACTGTAAAACATGCAAACAACTGATAAGAACATTTCTTTTGTTCTGGAACGTCAAGATACAAATTAACGAGTGCAGTGGCTTTAGCTTTTGTAGATGGAGTCCCCTGTAATAAAACAGGAGTGCTAGTGAAAGTCTGAATAGGAGAGCACCAGTAAGCCTGCCAGGGTTTATGTGATATATAGTTGAGCTTAACTTTTTAAAAGCACCGATGCTTTCCCCTACTTCCCACAGGCAGCTCTACCAAAACCTGCGCCATGTAAAATACTACTTTATTTAAATGACGAACTGTCGGCATTCTTGGTGTTGCAAGTTATTTTCCTGGAAATATAATCTTGAAATATATGTCTCCTAGTTAAACGTACAGTAACTTTTGGCAGCTATTATAAGTTATATTAACAACCTGATGAATTCTCTAAGTAGATTTTCAGTTCAACATCCTTCCTAGACAGAAAATGTATTTGAAGAACCACTACTGAACTTTTTTGACTTTTTGCCAAAAAGCTGCTGGAATAATTAAAAGTGTCTGCTCCAAAATGTGTTTGCCTGGAATCCTGAAATATTGCATCCCTAACAAATCATTCATTATGTCAGGCTTGTCAATTAGCAATATGCTGAAGCTGTGGCATTTGTCTGCTAAGTTTGACATTGCAAAATAAAGATTATTTTTGAACCGTGCTTGTGGAAATATGTTTAATTTAGCCATTAACCTTGTAATCTTTTTCTTTAGCTTAGTATACGTGCTTTCTCTAACAATATGCTCTACTTCTCTGGAATAGTCGTTATGTGCTCAGCCACTACCAGCAATAACTTATTACAAGGGCTGACAGCACTTTTTTAAGAGGCACAAAAGCAAACTATAGAGTTACATCACAGTTGCCTCGG